CCCCTTTTTAAAACAAGCTTTGTGTTCTTGTCAAAGTTTTGGCGAGTAAACATTTTCAAAGCTGACTGCCTTCAATGTGATCTTGCGCCACTGCAACAAAACCTTTTTTGGCAAGTTTCTATTGACTCACATATTAGGACACAGTGAAAATAGTTCTTGCCTTACAGTTTGATATTAAACCAAAACCACTGGGCAAATTAAACAGCAAGCGACAGCTACAACAGTGACACTCCAAGGCCAACTTAAAGATGGCATTATTGCTTACATAGTAAATGCAGGACTCTGCGGGAGTCCAGTGAGGCCAGAAAATAAACGGTTTTTCAACAACTGAACCTTGATTCAAGTAAAAAAAACAAACTTGAACTTGGAAGAGAGATAGTAAAAGTTAGTACCTCAGTAAACCATTATGAATGATTTGCATCTTCAAGTTGGTCTGGAAGTTGAACCATTTACTCAAAGAAAAAACAAACAGAAAACAAAACAAGCAGATATCAGGATTTCTTCTTCTTCTGTGAAGCAACATTAGACTACATGATCTGGGCATCAGCCAAAACTATGACAATAAAACTCAGGCTCGTACACAAAGCAGCATGTTAACCACTGTCATATGCTTGTCATTGCGATCTGTATTGTAATTGTCTATGAAGTATCAGTTAACACTTTTGCAGTTTTTCTCATCAGACCTTGATAACAGTACACAACTTTTGTTTTTTAAATTTATTGTAATAACAGTCTTCTGGATTGAGCCATTTTGTGGGGGTGGGGATAAAGACCAGGCAAGGGCAAACCGGAAGGCCAGGTGGACAGAAACAGTCAAAGCATTTGAAAGGTATTGAAATGCTACTTGGCCCAGTGTGGTGTTCAGGAGTGCAACTACTCTGATTTATGGCAGTAAAGGTCTTTAAGGGCTTTAAGTTCTTCAATTAGTGTCTTGTTTTGGTTCTCCAGAACGGCCACTCGGTTCTCCAGACATTTAACATATTCCTTCTTCTTCCTGCGACATTCACGGGCCGCCTCTCTGTAGAAGGATAAGACACAATTTGGGTTTTTGTTTCCTTCTGCATGTTGGATTTGATGGGTACTCATTGGCCTCCTTTCTAATACCTGCAATGTGAACACTTCTCAAATGTACCAAACTCTGGGCTGAAACATACTCACTACTATGAATCACTATTAACTTGCTATGAATACCCTGCGATTCCTGGTGCTTGCAGCCGTAGAAATGTATTTGAAGAAACTGCAAAGACATTACAAAACAAACAAACACAAAAACACACAGTCCTCCTTTTTTATACCTGTTCTTCATGAGGCGGACCTCGCGTTTTCTGGTGACCTCCTCAGTGGCACCCTGGGTCGGAAGAGCAGGGGACGAGGCCATGACTACCCCGGGAGCAATGGTGCTGGCAGGGGCTGCTCGGATCTGATAGGCCTGAACGTCACCTGAGGCAGCTAACAGGAAAATTTGACAGAAAGCAGATGTTTAATTTGGCCTCTTAATGAACCTAGTTCATTGTTTAACTATCTTGTTTACTAACGATGAATATCCAAATGTTTTTGTCTTTGCTGCCAAAGACAAAAGAATGCTTTGAAGAATGGCTGTGCTCATGAATAATAGACTGCCACTCTTACCTTGGACCACCACCTGGTTGCTGGGAACCAGTATCTGCTGGCCGTCACTGGTCTGTGCATACTGCAGTATGGTGGCACCAGGCTGGGCTGCTGCTGCATTGGTCATAGTCAGAGTCTGAAGGCCCTGTACTCCATCTGTGCCATTATTGGCCAACTGAATGGCTCCACCCTGTGTGATTGCAACTATTTGAGGGACAAATGAAAGGGGAGAAAAATAAAAGGACCGAAAACACATTATAAATTTGTTTCATTCTTATCGTTCTTCGCTCACCAGTCTTCCCATAAAGAAAACATTGTGATGAATGTGCTGTGAAGTTGTTATTGTTTCTTTTAGAGTCTTGCGCTTAATCAAACATGAAGCATCAAACTGTATTTCTGTGATGAACTTGCACAAACTGTTAAACATTTCTTGGACTGCCCCACAAACAAAACAATTAGCTAAACAGGTCAGACTCATTGTCTTCCTCGATGTGATGAATATGTGGAATATTAACTGCCCTTTACTTTCTTAACCCAGTTTAAGTCATTTAAAAATGCTTTAAACTGCACTGAAAACATAACATATTTTAATCCTAGTGTGATCTCCCTCAATATGTTTACATTTATATTAAGTAATCAAGGTTTTTGTATTACTGGGGAGATCATTTAAGACTTCACATGAAGTAGTGAGGTTGATGGTTAAATTGCTTTATTTATTATAAATATTTTATATTTTAATTCCTAATTATATTCTTTTAATTACTAAAATAACTTAACATAATTTAATTACTGAACCAAATGTCACTTACTGTATTGGCCGCTGCTGGTCTGGTAGATGGGTGTCGGGACAGTAACAGTGGTGATTGCAGGTGTGGCGGCAGCAACAGATGAGTCTTCTTCGGCCTTTTCTTCCTCGATACGAGGGACAGCAGGTGCATCAGACGAAAGGTCGTTCAGAATTTTCCTGTTAGGACACGCAGAAGTGGATTTACTGTCAATCCTAGTTATCCATATAAAATAATGTATCAGCCTTAGCATGAGCGTTAAGTCAGGGCAAGCGAGACAGCCAGTGCCCTGTGAAATCTAAAAATAGACATCAGCTACCAAAGTGAAAGCAAACGCTCTCTTTAAACATCAGTGTTCTGTTCCATAAAGCATCTTTCACTGCTTATTTGTATCCTTCCTGTAAATATTAATGCAGTAATATTACATTATTACAGTTGCTCCCATGAAAACACAATTTGGTATACTACTACTACTTGTTACATTACATTTGGATTTAACTTATTTGTCTCATAATAAACCTTTAACAATATAAATCTGAGGCCACACACCAACACAAATCCTAATGTGGACACACATATGACCTTTTATTTAGAATTTAGGTATAAAAACAAAGCAATCAGCACAAAGCAAAGGTGAAAATCAGCACAAAGAGACTTTAAGGCATCACAGTGAGTCTACTTTAGAAACAAATAGAAAATGAGGCTGCAGCCTGACTGCTCATCACTGCCTTTGTTAGCTCTTCAAGTTCAGGATCTGGCTGCTGGACTGGGGTCTGCATTCATTCAGTTTTAACATCATTTTGGGTTCTAGGCTAGGTTAACGTTAGCACACTGACTCTGTAGATGCTTGCAAGGAGCTTGGTTTAGCACCGTAATGCATTTGTTTCTGTCCGGGATGCACTTTGCACTCGTTTTTGGGGGAATACAAATAAAAGAAATGCCCATATCCATGCTGTAGGCACACCAATATCCCCCCCCACACACACACACACACTAAAATTAGCAGATTGTATTGCAACCAATATGCACAATTTTATCAAGCAAGAAGAAATGTAACTTTTGGGAACTACTTCTCGATTCCTGAAATTTACAGAGCCAAATGAAAATGGTTTAGTGGCCATCTGACAGTTTTTCCCCCAAAGCTTTAGACTCATCTGTGGCATAACACCACTGTCTTGAATGTCTTAATTACCTGTATGAGGGGCGCCGTGACAGAATCTCTCTGCGCTTCTGAGAGTCGGTCACACTGTCTACAGACTCCTGCGAATCCTCGCTTTCTGCTATGGTGGAGATCTGGAGCATCAATCAAAAGAACAAGACATTAATCAACACTTCATGGCTAATGATCTTGTGCTAAGGCTGAATAAAAAGACAGTACTGCTCAAGCTTCACCTGTACGGCTTGGACCTGTGGGGACTGGATTACAGATGGCTGCGCAGCCTGGATCACACCGTGGACCTGAACCGTCTGTCCGTTGGGCAGCTGTACCAGTGTTACTGTGGGACCTGTTGCTGAAGCATGTCCTGCTGCCATGGACACCTAAATTCAGAGGTGATATGACTGAGCTATCACATGCATTTTAACACACTTCAAGATGGGCACTGAACGCACTGAAAGTAGGGGAAATTGTGTCAACATCATCTTCATCACGTGATTGATACCTGCGCCAAAGTAGCAATCTGTGCCGGGGTGATCTGCTGGTTCTCCGTCTCAGTCACAGCAGTCTCTGCCCCCTGCTGAACCTCTGCTGCTGACTCCATCTTCATTGGCTAACCTGATGTTGTAACCTGGGTACAGATTTGAATGAACGTGTTAAAACGAAGCTTTTGGGGAGCTGAAGCAAACGACTCGCCGGGTGTCAGAAGCTGACTGAAGCTTAGAAGCGTAGAATATGTTTGAATTTAAACTTCCACTTAAATAAAAACACCAAACTAGATGACTCAGAATGAGTCACCAAGGAGTCAATAACAGTAAACATAACAACAGTTGTCAACCACTGGCCATCTGAGTAAAGAGGTTTAACATACTATCATTCTCTTAAAAAATATGGCTTTTATGATGCTAATTATCAATAATAAAATCTCCTGGAGCTTCTTCTATACCTGTGCAATGTTCTGGTATTTAAAGCCCGCGCTGCTTTACAATAAGCTGAAGGCATTTGTCGTCTTCATGTCTGAATGTAAACCCTGGTCACTTTTCTGTAAAGGCAGAACTGCAATTACTTACTAGGTCAGACCTTAAAATAATTCTGCATGAATTTAAACACAGCATACCTCTGAGAGAATGGCGTCACAAAGCTACTACTCTTCTGCTTCTCTACGAGTTTGTCAGCTCAGCAAAAGACGACTGCTTTGGGTAACAGCAGCAATAACAGAAAAGGCCAACAGGGTTTTCAGCTCTCATGCTTTCAGTGTAGCGTCTGCTTTCAGTCGGTTTCACAGTCTCACATTTCCCGAGCTAATCTAAAAAAAAAAAAAAGACTTTTCTCCCTAAAATTTAAGCACAATACATTTTAAGTGGTTCCCCTGCAGGTTTCTGTCATTCAACTTATTCACATTACTACAAATGTAAATATTGTAAAATATAACTTTACAGTAAAATGTTAAAAAGGTTTTTGAGTTAGTTCAGCTGTTTATAACATATGTTGAGTATCAGAATAATTCTGTTTCTAAAGTGAGACAACTGTGCGCATTTATAAAGGAGACAAACCCAGAGCAGTAACTTCACTGTTCATATATGAGAAATTCAGCCCCAAACAAAGACAGGATTGATCAGGATCTAACAGCAAAAAAATCCGACCTTGTCTTCACGTCCAGGAAGGTGAGTTTGGAGCTGAGCAGTTAGTTGAAGATGAATCAAAACTGACATTCAGAACCTCTGATCAGGGTTTTTATTATTTTAATTCCATTAATACTTTTATGTACTATCCCCTTTCAAACATACTACTGTGTTGTCACGTAACTTTGCCCACTCAGTCGGCTGAGTGTTTGACTGGAGGAAAAGTCAAACACTCAGCCGACTGCACAACTCAATCAGTTTGTGCCAAATAACAATGCTGTGTCTGTTATTCGCTCACATTTTTGGCTTTAGTAAAAACAACATCAGAATAAAACTGAAAACTGCAGGAAAAATAGTTTCAGTGACTAAAAGTAACACCGCATATCTGCTACAACACTTGGCACACATTCATATAACAAACATGACCTGGATGCATTGGGAAATAACTGAATATTCATTCCCCTGGAAAGGTTGTTTTTACCATGTCATTACTCTGAAAACACCCACAGACAACACTGCTTCACAACAAGGCCTTACTCTCCCGACGCAGGCACAACACTTTATCTCTGCTCTGTTCAGAGTGAGCAGAGGTTTCAGTGTGACAGAGAGCAGAGCACCCTGTCAGATGAAAACTTGTGATCACTTCACTTACTGTTATTATGTAAATGCAGCTGAAATCACAGCACAGCCAGGATTGTTGACATACGTCAAACGGTAAAGTATTCACAATAGCCTTACGAATCTCAATGAATAAAACCGTGAGGAGCAATAAGATAAAAGAGGCTGAAAATCATCTCTACACTCCTGTATTCTCTTTTATTCCACGTTATCTCATCTGCTCTTCTGTTTGGGAACAGTTTTTCGGTTTCAGTTTGAATGCATCCACAGACTGACATGCCCTATCCAATTATGACACGCGTATCGTCGCTTCACACCGTATTTTGCCTCTCTGTGAAATTGAAAAATAACTAGCAAAGAAAAACAAAAACTCTTTTTAAGGACATATTGCCGCTTGATTTTCTTCATGGTAGCTTCCATCATATTCAACAAAATCTGCAAAGAGTGTGACTTTTTGCTGACGTGTGACTTTCCCTGATGAGTATGACATCAGACAGGCCAACGTCCTCCTTCCAACTGTAATTTAAAAAAGCCATTCCTTCATATACACAGAGTAAAAATCAGCCTTTAGAAAATGTGGGACACTGTCTCAAGACGTGGGTCGAGGGATAAGGAATAAAAACAGAGAGACATCTGGTCACCCTAGTGACATGTTCTGTGACAGGGGCTTAAAAAAATAACCAAATCACAGGTTAGGTTGTTCTTAGAGATTATCAACAATTTCATTTTGTTTGTGTAATTCAGACCACATTATCAGAGCTTGATCAACATCTTAATTTTGCTGCTGAAGCCATTTTCAGGGAGTTAACAATATTAACCAATTGCGCAGGGAAGACAAAAAATGCAGTTAAACGTAAACAAGTCTAACTGCACATTTTATATATCAAATATAAGTGAAAGCAGTGCACTTTCAACAGTCTTTCTACAAGACAGAGAATTACTGCTGTAGTAACTGAAAGAAGTGCACAACTTTTTGGGCTTAAATTATTTCTGTAAAATTACAGAAAAAGTTCTGGGGGCTCACAAACAAGACTGTCCTGTAATAAAATAAAAAAAAGAAGGAATTTCCTGTTTTTTCACATTACTGTTATTTAAATGAGTAATTATTAAGTACTAAGACAGTTATTTCAGCTGTTTATAACATATGTGAAGCATCAGAATAATTCTGTTTCTAAAGTGAGACAACTGTGCGCATGTATAAAGGAGTCACGCCAAGAGCAGTAACTTCACTGTTCATATATGAGAAATTCAGCCCCAAATAAAGACAGGATTGATCAGGATCTAACAGCAAAAAAATTCGACCTTGTCCTCACGTCCAGGAAGGTGAGTTTGGAGCCGAGCAGTTAGTTGAAGATGAATCAAAACTGACATCTTTATGTTCAGGGTTTATGTTATTTTAATTCCATTAATACTTTTACATTTAAAATTAAATCATTGCTTTTCTTCACATTTTCCAAAGCTCTTAAGGGGGCCGGGTTGGAGTTTTTGCTGTGCTAATTCGAGCACCTGGGCCTTATGTTTGACATCCCTGCACTAGACACTATATTGTGCATCTGAATTGTGTTTTCACCATTGTCTGCATGGGCAGGTTTTGATAAAGTTACAAATGTTTATGAAAGAAAAAAATGTCCCAAACAATGGGATAGAAATTATTTTGTGAAGATGCAATCTACTCATTAACACATACAAAGGTGATCCAGGGTAATTCCAAGGGGACACATGGGCGTGCCCCACGTCATCTTCAATAACAAACACACACAAAATGCTTTTATTTTGGAAAGGAAAATTATTGAACTTCTTTTTTCTTTAATAAAATAAAAATGGTTAATGATCATGAAGGGCATCTTGGGCTTCCCTAACAAATCCTGATCAATTATCAGGAGGTCACACTTCAAACTCAACTTAGCTGCTCCTAACCCAAAGCCCCCACATTAACTATGATTCTAATAAAGGAGCTTTGGAGAGGTGATCCCCGCCTGACTTCAGGCGATGCAGCGAGTGTTGATCTGGGACGTGTTGTTCTTTGAGCTCCGTGATCTCACACAGTGCGTAGCTTCTCCCCGCTGCATGATTGGCTTTACACATTTCTCCCTCTGCTTTTCAAAAATCACTCGGATGCTCCGTGTGTGACAGCAGCGCCACATGGCCGGGTAACGCCCCCTCAACGCACACCGATCACATCCCAGGAGATGTGCCGCAATTTTTAAAAAAAAGTAATGAGACCGCAGACACACGATGTGCGTTAAATCCACAGGCCCGTGGGTTATGTTTTTAACGGGCGACCAAACGCTGAGGCCTACGATGTCACATTTCTGTGTGCACATCGACGCAAACTCGGAGCAAAATCACTAACGACGAAAGAGCGTCGATACAAATGGGTATGCAATCATACATGTAAATGTACATATATACATATAAAAGAATAACAATCAAGTCTTTCAAGTGACAGAGAAAAACGCAAATATCGTAGCTAGTGTTTTCAGTGCGCCTTTAACGGGAGGGAAACAGCGCAAATCTTTGCGCAGAAAGCTCAGTCAGCTACAGCATCATTTACATGTGAGCGTATTAACAAAGCTAAAGTCCGACCGCCGTTTGTTGTGTCTTAACACTCTGCCCATCCTGGTTCACTAGCAAAGCCACACATCTGCTCCGTTTCTCCCAAACAGCCGCAGACTCCCCTCCCTCCATCCTGCTACAAACACACCGCGGCGCCATGATCTCTTTGTTTGCTTCGGGCCGAACCCGACCAGACCGACACTTTCTACGGCAGTGTCCCGTCCCTGTGAGCCCCGGACACCGCTTCGTCCTTACCGATACAGTCTCCCTTCGTCACTCCCAGGCCTCCGGAGCTCCACTTTTATTCTGGCCGACACGTAAGAGCCCGCGTCAGGCTACACCTCCGCCGCGTCACCGGGAACAACAACACGGAGATTGGAGAAGGACGAGAAAGCAGATGGCGACGCTGACCGGAAATAAACGAAGTGCAGACGGAAAATGCCGGAAAATGCCGAGAATGAACGGATAGCAACGACACCCTCGTGCCCCATGAAACGTCTGGCAAAATAACTAAAAAAACAATACGCGGTTTATTTGCAATTCAATAATTACACAACAAAAGCAATAAAAATCTGTCAGCTAAAGCTGGTGGTCATAAAAGCGTGTTGTAAACGTGAGGGTCGCTGCGTTCATCTAAGGCCGTATTAGACATATGACAAAGCAGGAAACAGAAATTCTGTAAAATATTAGTGACAGACAAGCTACTTTCTATTTTTTTTCTATGTTTTTTTAAAAATATATATATTTTCAACGGTATTAATACAAACACAGTCCAGTTAACTAATTAATTTGGACGCCCCGTGGTTTTATCTGAAACTTATACATCATTGGGCGCTCCTCAGCCTTGATTGCCTCTCCCAGTGGCCCCCAGTTAGTTGTATTGATTTGTTAGTTTAGTGGAGCTGCGGGGTTTTTAAAAAAATATTTATTAATTTTTATCAAGTACTGCGATTATAGATCACAACTTGTATTATTAGAAATGTATTATAACAAGGTTAAATATCTAACTTCACGGGGGATTGTTTTAAAAAGGATTTTAACTTGTTTTTCTTTTTGTTGCAGCTCCCGTCATATTTTTGATTTACTCATATAAACTAATGAAACCTCTGCTCGACTGTAACAGGTCTGTGCTTTTACTACCACATGGTAATATAATTATGTGTTACTGAATATTTCCTGGGGCACAATAAGTCTTGTTTCTTCAAGTTATCTAGTTACTGCCTCCAGTTACAACTTTGTAACATCTCATTGTGATAGTCTGTTTGTCTTAAAGAGCCTGTCTGATGTACTGAACTACGCCTGTACACTCGTTCATTCGTTGGGGATCTACAAATTAGGAAAAACATTTAAAATGAAAATATGCAGTTTTAACTTAAGCCCTTAAAATTCTATCTATATCTTCCATTTTCTTCTACTTTTAGCATGAGGATTACACTTAGATGCATTAGTTGTTCTGGTGTTTCTTGCAGTAAGTTTCAGGCAGGTCCCAGAGGGAAACTCTTCATGAATAGATTTATTCAAAAGATGAATGCTGCTTCTTGCACACAGCTGGAATTAAAGTCAGCGTCAGTACAATTCTTGCAAAAACTTCACAGCAGAAACAGTATTAAGCTTATCCTTACTGACACCAAAGCACAGTCTGACTCACAGTGATGGTGAAGATGCCCTGCATTTTATCACCATCACTTTCTTTGTAACCACACTACAAGAGATACAGTGTACATCATTTTCACATTAATCAGAAATAAGTACATTGTAATGGTTTACTGAGAGCCTCTGATGAAATGAAGAAAAAGTTAAAGCTTTTAGCACACGTAATGATTTTCAAATTATGACAACCCAACTTTTTGCTGTGAAAAAGACCAACTTGCTGTAGCCATTCAGAATCTAACCACAAGAGGGGAGCATAAGACCAGCTGAGCATGTGCACGAATAGATTTTGCAGACATTCAATCTGCTAGAAAACGTAAGCCATCTCAAGTGAGAAGTTTTCAAGAGATCAGCCAAAGGCAAACAAGAGAGAGAGAGAACTTTGCAAACTTAATGTGAAGTACTTGCAGATTTTCTCTCAGGCGTTTATATGCTAATGAGGAGACTGAACTCCAGCCTGGGACTAATCACTGGGTTAGAATTTTACATACATACATACATACATAATTAAATCCTGATAAAAAATATTCTGTATCACACATCCAAGAATGAGCAAAAATATATCAGCTAGATTTTTAAATCTTGCAACAAAAAACATTCTATATGTAGAAATGAACAAATATGGCTATATCAGACATTACATAATCAGATGTAACAGATTACTGTGATGTTCAATGTAGAAGAAATAAAGTGGATATGATCAGTGTCCAAGCTGTCATCATTAAAAGGCTCATGACAGTCAGAAATAATCCAATTTTAAACGTACTTTGTGCATATTGTCAAATTCTTTGGTGATGTTGCGACATGGAAAATACTCTCATAAAGAGAGGTGTAGATTTGTGAACTGACACCAGGTGGCAATGTGATGAACAGATGTACTGAGTTTTAATTATTATTTAATAATCCATCCATCTTCTTCTGTTTATTCAATTCAGAAGCTTATCCCAGCTGTCAGGTACACTTAGACAGGTCGCCAGTCTATCGCAGGGCCAACACAATCTGTCACGCTCACATTTAGAATCACCAATTAACCTAATATGGATGTCTTTGGCCAGGGTGTCCAGACGAACTTGCACACTGCACACAGAAGGATCTGAATTTGAACGCAGGATCTTCTTGACAGTGCTGTACCACCCTCAACCTTCCCCCATTTAACCATTGCTAGATTTTAGTTATCGATAGATTTATAGATATATATATAGATATATATATAGTGTCTAATTTGAATCTGTACAGATGCATTCAGTGAGTTGTTGTCGTCGATTTTTGTTGAGACCTCATTTTGGGAGAAAACAGGGGGGAACCTAGAACTTTGTTTTACCAGCAATGTTCTAGGTTCAAACCTCCTCGTCAGCCTTTGTTATGGACTTTGCATTTTCTACCAGTGCCTGCTCCATTTTCTTCCCAGCACAGGAGACTGTTAAGGAAATGAATGAATTCAAGTTGGCTCGTGGTGTGGATGTGAGCAGCTGCCTCCCTGTATTAGCCTTGCAATGAACTGGTGATTTGTTCAAGGTGTAACCCCCCACTTTCCTAATAATAGCAGTGATAAGCTCCAGCTCTCTTCCCACCCCGATGTGGATATGAGGCTCAGAAATCTGATGGATGGATGTTTAGAGTAGACGATGAATGGTGCAAAGATTCAGAGGAAGCGAGGGATTAAAAATGCCACACAAATTATGACAATGCCAATCTTTGAGAAAAATGCAAAGAAAGAAGAAGTGGTAGAAGAAAAAGAATAATTTACACACTTCACTGCTCAAACCCTCTCCAACCACACCAATATAGATGGATATGAATAATAAGCTCTGTTCTCATGAGCTTTGTTCTCATGCACAGCTCTGCTGGGCAATGCCTGGAGAACTTCAGGGCTGCTGTGCATTTGTGAAAATGGTTATGCAGTCCAAGGTTCTTTCTTTTTACCTTCATTCTTTTTCCTCTTCCCCGGAACCAAAAATTGGTATTTCGACCTTACCACATGGTGGCGCTGTAAAGCTGCGAAAATTCTGAGACCATGTGCTCCTCGGTCTCTGGCTCGTCCTACCCAGGACTGGAGAGACGAGAGCTGCTGGTGTGTCGCCGCGCAGATATGCAGAGTTTATCAAGGCAATTCTTTTTATAATCCTCCTGATGCTCGTTGCCGGTGTTTTATCTGTTTAATAGCATTTTACTGCTACACGCCGTAAAAAACACCCTTTTTATTGTGGCACCAAACACATTGTTTGGGGATTTGACCCTGCCTGGGTAATGAACAGCAGTGAATTTGCAGCCAGTTATATATATTAAAATAAAGAGGTGGAAAAAAGAACAAGAGGTGAGGAGGTGCTGAGGTGGGGGTGGGGGTTAACCCAAAGAGGAGAGGAGGAATATTTTACAGCCTGTTCTCCATGTCTCATTAGAGGTTTCAGCTCTGCTGATTTTTAACCGTTTTTGCTGGATCGTCGTGGCAAAAAAAATCAACACTGACTTTGTCAAATAGACCTTGTAAAACAGAAAAAAATTAGGTACAAAACAGCCTTTTAATTAAAAGATAAATGTTGTTTTCGAGACTTGAAACATATATTTGTAAAATCCTGGCATTGAATGTTGGGATACTGCAGCTCTACAAAGGAGGAAAACCTGGAATCTAACAGGGATCAGATTTAAACGAGTGGAAACGTACAAGCAGTCCAACACCCTCCATCACCATCACAGCTTCTAATACAGAACTGCGTTTTGAAACATGCATCTAGAGTTGCATGTAGGTGATGTTATTATCCTAGATATTTAACATGCATAGAGAATGTCTCCTAAGTAGCACTGAAGCAGTGTCTTACTCATATCTACATGTAGCCGTTATCCACTGGTTTCCATTTACCACTCGTTGACCACACCTATAGGGCTTTTCTGTGTGATATCTTGTCCCTATTGGTGCTCACTTCTTTACCTTCCTCGAGATTTCACTCTTGACTTCACACTTCTTCCTCCTTTACTCCAGGTCAAGAGTCACCACTACAAGACTAAACATTTTCTTACATAACCAATGCTGAGAAAACGTAGTCCCACAATTAAAGGTTTGCATTTGTGTAGGAAAAACAGTTTCACTAAAATCTCTCTAGTCAGTAGCCAGAAGCTAAGAGGTGGCTCAGCAGAATTACCCCTCACCAATGAAGATGACTCAGGGATGCAAAGCCAAGCCAAACACAGCAGAAAAAATATCAAACAGATGAAACAAGATTGCAGTAAAATGAGGACTGACAATGTGCACAGCAGAACACACACACACAAAATTACAAACTATATTTATGTTTCACTAACAGCTGTCAAGCTGCAAATACATCACAACAATGCTTTCAGGTAGCAGCAGGGAGCTAATACAAGAGCAATCATGTGAGCCTTCCATTACCGATCTAATACTGGTAAAACGTCCACGTCTGACATTTTCCTTCAGCACTCTGTGCTTTTAAGGAGGCACATTTAATCCTGTTTCATGTGAATTCAAACCCCATCTGGTTCACAGCAGCTGGAGTTTCAGCGACACTCCGTGCCTTCACTTTCACCTCTCGGGCAAGATCTTTTCTTTTCTTTGCATTCTTGGTTCGGAGGCATTTTATTTTTGGCCACGGCGTTTTAGATCCCTGCGAGTCAAAATGTAATGATCATGAGGAGCAGGTGATGTATTAATACGGAGAAGTCATATGTTTGTTTCTTCTTTTTTGTCTAAGTAGAGAGGAATAGATATTTTAAAGAAGGAGAATGGAGCGAGACAT